GAAAGTGTTAATTTCTGCTTTTTATTACTGTTTTTACAATTTTATTACCACAATTTTGTGAAAATATGTTTATTAAAAAAATTCAATATTTGTTTTATATTATATTATATTTATATTATATAATAAAATCGCGGTACAGAACTGTGGTACAGAATAAAAAAGTACAGAACTGCGGCTCCCATGCATTTTGCAAAACCTACATTTCGGCTCCCACCCGAACTCTTGCTTGCCCACCTCTGTTTTATTGCATTATAAAAGTCGCTGATAACAGTGTGGACATTTATGCATTTATTATTCGGAATGCGAACATTCCGCAAAGAAACACTAACCGTAATTTAAGATTAGGAGAAAAACGTTAATTGTTGACGGTCAATTTATTAAAAACTTAGAAAATAATGCTCGCTAGATCGTGTAATGTCTGAGGGTAGATAAATAATGTTTGGTTTTACTTTTTATGTTTCTTAGTACACATAAGTGAGTCTCTTTTTGCATCCGTGGATAGTAAGAAAATATTAAGAATCACACTTACCATGAATTCGACCAAGCCCGTAATGAGGATGGCCAGATAGTGACGGTAAGGCCCGTTATATGCGGGACAAACCACTCATGAATAATTCCAGGAGTTCTTTACGTGAATTCAATCTTGGATTTCCTGTCCAGTAGGTTAATATCTTAGCTATAATAGGTATAGTCGTAAATTAAAAAGTGTCATGCCATTCCGAGTTTGAACCTCTATCGTCTATGGCATTTTTTACGGGCTAAAAACTGCAAGAAGGAATTTTCTCAATTTTTTGGCCGAAATGCATAGTTTGAAGTCCAACTTAGATGTCCACAATGTTCAAGTGATTCCCTGCTTAAAAAGAAGTACCAGGTATGCTCGGGCACGATCATCTGGTGGTTTTTTGAATAGTAAATGTGGGAGCAAAGAATAATATAGTTACCATCTGTCTGTCACATCAAATCAATTGCAGAGATGCAAAAGAAATTACCAGAATTGTGCAGTGGTAATTTCTGTCGTTTAATCATAGCATTTTTGTTCTATGGATTTAATCGAACACACACCGCTGGCAAATGCTCTGTGCTGCTAATGAAGCACTCTTGGACTATAAATTTTGTTTGTTGAATGAAATGAAAGTTATTCAGAAACGGCTACACATTTTAAGCAAGAGGATCAATTAAAATATAAAAATAGAATATGGTTATTCTCATAATATATTTGAAAAACACACCGACAGGCTAAAATTATAATTATCCAACCTGAATATAATTGAGTGATAAAAAGTCAGCAAATCTTGGAGGTCAAGGATTGTGGGCAAGAAGCCAATTTCAGAAAAAGCAGACAATCCCTTTCTTCCAAAAATCGCGTTCAGCAAAAGCATGGACCGTCAATTACATCCCGAGATTACAGCACGAGACATTTATCATCACTGTTTCAAAAACAGTACCGACATTCCTTGTAATTTAAGAGTCTCGTCGCCTCCATTACGGAAATTGAATTTCAATCATATTGTTTACTACGAGATCGCACGTGTTTATAAACTTACTTTTGTATGTTTTGGCCACTAGTAACCGAGTAGATAAAACCACCGAACACTGATAGTTTGGTGGTGGGTTCGAGTCTGGCCAACAGACAGGTCAGAAGGAGTTTTCCGGGTTTTCTTCAAGTTTGTAGTATCTAAATAGGGGCTGGCTTCTCTTATAAAGTCCTCCCGGGACACCCAGATCGCTCACGTGTTGCGTTGACGTATGCAAATAATCCAATCGAAATTGTATGTTTTGTTTTTAAATTTAGGCTAATCTAACCTAGATGTACGACCAATTTACCCATATATGTGCAGCGATGTAAATGATCTTTACGCTTACAAACAGTTGAGTACAACGGTGTGAACACGTGCCTCTAGGACACGTGTTCACACCGTTACTTATGTTACACACATACTTACGACTTCAGGCTAGGTTTTTATATATTGTACGGAAACAGGGAAACGAGTCTAACTCTCAATTTTTCTTTATGTGAAAGTAATCTGATAGCACTTTGTAACAAAATCACGGAACTTTTATGTACAGAATTAAATATAGGCCTATATATATTACCGGCAAAGTATGAAAAGCCGGCTTTCTATAGAATACCTAGGCATTGTGTATAATGCCCGGCGTTTTTAGGCAATGTATGAAATATGAGAATTATTACATACTTTCCCTAGGCATTCTATAGAATGACAAATGCTATTTAGGCAAAGTATGAAAAAAGGTTCGATAAGGCTATTATATAAATGACGTGCATTCCTCGAAAATACAAATGTTATTCTGAAAAATAATGAGAGTGCCATTTAAAAAAATTTATTCAAAGTACATGAGAAAAATGAAAGTTGTACAAAACAAAATTTATGCCTTTCTTATTAAGGAAAACAAAATTTTCATATAAAAAGTAAGAAATTGAAATTAACCTACTTATTGCAACATGGTAGGCTTGAATGACATTTTGAATTACATTTCATTACATTTTTCACGCAAAGACATTTCATGTTTTGGCACTTTGTTTTATACATCCATTTGACGAATCCTTGGTCGCTTCCACTGTACTGAGCAATTGCAACTGATCTGAGAGGAATTTCATGGTCAGGAATATCTTCAATTCTAAGCAAGTTCTTAGGGCATGAAGTGAATTGTGATCTCGTATATACTTGTTTTAAAATTCCTTCAGAAGTTCCAAGTCGGTAGAAGACCATACTCTGTCACACTCATTACAACTGCTAATATATTGCGCGACTGCAACTGCTAATATATCTCGCTCCTTGCCGATGTCAGGAATAGGAACTCGCACAGTAGTTCCCAAAGAAGCAGTGGGAAATTTTTTCCGAATTCATTTTCATTTTTTTGGCTTATATTTCCAGATTGATTTTAGAATTTATTTTACCTTCAATAGCATTTTCAGTTTTGAAACAAAGGGTGCACAAAATATCCATTTCATCATCTTTACTAGCATGGCCACAGAAGGTATGAATTTTTTGACATTTTTTGCATGAAAGTTCATCACTCGTTTCCTTTAAACATACACACAACAGGTATCAGAAACGGAAATCTCTTCGGTAAGCATGTCTTCATCATGTTGGTTTAATCCACTAACGACTTTAATCTCATCCATGTTTTTTAAAACAGGCTCCTTTTCTTGCATAATCTGATTAGTTTCACCTTTTTCCATTGTTTTGACGCTTTCTATTACCTTTTCTAGCTGCTCCGCTGTATTTATGTCTTTTAAAACATCTTCTGGTAGAAAAGACGATGTAAGCCCTACTTTAGGTTTGCAGCCAAAAAGAGCTTCGTATGGTGTTCTTTTGATCCCAGAATGATAAGCTCTATTTTTCATAAATTGAACGAAACGTAGTCCTTCACTCCAGCGGTCAGATTTGTTGTCCTGCATCCAAGTACAGAGCATATTTTCGATATCTTGATTAGCTCTTTCGACCCTGGCTTTGTGAATGGCGAGGCTTCCCATGGACGATCTTCAGTGCTGGCCAAAACTCCTTCAAGCTGGTCACCACATTATTGGCAAATTCCCTACCATTGTCAGACTGTAATATAGACGGCGCTCCAAGCAACGAGAATATGTCCACTAGGTTGTAGGCTACTTCTTCAGCTCTTTTCGACGTTAGAGACTTAAGAATCACAAATTTTGTGAGATGATCTTGGTACACCATAATAAATTTGTATTCTCTATCTGGCTGAGACTGAAAGTCAATAAGATCTACCTGACAACGGAAATTAAATTCGGAAAAAATCATAGGTTTCACAATAATGCCCTTTTTAATACCATTCTGTTTTTTCTGGCAAGGTTCACAAAGGTGGATGCAAAGGTACAGTTCAATATCATGACGTATAACGTTTTTGTATTTGGTTAAAAGTTCTTTCAACATTCTATCACGTCCTCCGTGTCCAATAGCCAAGTGAGCTTCATGAAGTACGTGAAATAACTCTGAGTCAGTACTGTATAGCACTGACGCCTTCTTTAACAGGATAAATGAGTTTACTTTTGTTTTTTACAATCATCACATCATAGCGATTCAGCAACCAATAGTTCCTGGGTTCCTTTTTAGTAGTCATTTTGGCTTTTTGTACATCATTTATTAACTTCTGGTAAGTAGGTTTGGTTAAGAAAATACTGTTTTTTTTTTTTTTTTTTTTTTTTCAGCATTAACTCGAATTTTGGACAGTTCATCGTCGAATCGTTGTTTCATGTCTATAGACCATGTCACTTTCTCCAACACTACAGCTTGCTCCTCCATTTTCAAACTAATTTTTTGTTGAACAAATTTAAGTAAAATTGCGTATTTTGACACTCCCGAACAAACCGCAAAGTGCAACTGACAAATTCTAAGCCTGGGGCGTGCGTTAAAAGTCACGTGCCTTGCCACGTGATATTCGAAAAGAAATGGAGATGTATTTCATACTTTGCCGGTTTCTCATTTGGCATTCTATAGAATGCCTAGGAAATTTGTAAAATATGAATCGTTTCATAGATTGCCGGCTAGTTTTAGGCATTATATACAGCGCCTAGGCATTCTATAGAATGCCGGATTTCGAACTTTGCCGGTAACATATATAGACTATATATAGAAATTTTTGGATGTTTCGTACGAACACCATCTAGTGGCAATTTTTTTATATGGCTAATTAGGTTTTTAACTGATTGATATTGAATGAAATATATCTATAAACAATATTGACAGATTACTTTTTATTTTAAAATTAAGTACAGTATATACATCCATTAAACAAAACTGAATTTCAAACAAATTTAAAATTTCATTCATGAGACAATAGTAAAATCTATTCTTCCATAACGAAATTATTTCTTAATAGCAAATTTATTAATGTAAAAAAAAAACACACATATCAATCAACTTTCTGTTAAAATCTTTAATTTTATTAATTTATTTAAACAGAAGTAATATATATATATATATTTTCGACGACAGGTGTCGTATTGTATAATTTGAATACAAATAATGAACCAATCAGCTGATGAATGTCGATTCATGATTTGAAATTGATTGTTTTTTCTCAACAATAATAAAATGTGCAAAGGCCATGTGGTTGTTTGATTAAATTTATTATGAATTTTTATACAATTTTTGGTAATTATCTTTAATTAATAATAATCATTTTTAATTAACTTTTAAAAGGTTTAAAATTAATAATTGTAACTTCACTACAGTTAATTAAAATTATCAGGAAAATCATTTATAAGTATTGGGATTTTATTCTGCATGTAGATATTTATATAAGTTAGTTATGAGTAAGTTAATTTATATTTTTTTAAATAAACTATATAATTTAAACTGCATCATCATTAAATGCATGTTAAGTAAGGCTGTAAGCATTATAATAAAATAAAATTCTGAAGATTATATATAATAACATAGCAATTCCTTATACATATATAAGGAATACTTTATATATAGAAAGAAAAAGAGTTTGTATAATGTTTATATAGCATGTATCAACTGTATATAAAATATAACAACAACAAATTTATTCTGTATCTATTTATATTTTATTGTGAAACATTGTATTTTATATAGTTCTCGACTCCTGTCTTAGAAGAGTTCTTGTCGATAGAAATTTCAAAACTGCTTTTATCTTGGACAAAAAAGTAAGTATGATGACTCAAAGTTATCGAGACATTATTAATTTTATAAAAATACTACAATAAATATATAATTTTCTTAGGAAAAACAGTCAATTGTAATTCCTGTGTGGTTAATGGTAACCTATATGTTGTTTGTCTTTATGATTCTTGCGGTGTTTTGTATGTTTTGGCCACCAGTAACCGAGTAGATAAAACCATCAAACACTGATAGTTTGATGGTGGGTTCGAGTTTGGCCAACAGACTGGCCAGAGGGAGTTTTCTGGGTTTTCTTCAAGTTTGTAGTATCGAAATAGGGGTGTTTCATAATTCATTTAATTTGAACAAATTACGTAACTCTGTAAGAAATTCACAGAGTTAGAAATTTCAAATTACTCTGGAGTAGAAACAAAACTGCTTATCTCATTTTTTAACATTCTCTTAGTTGAAAGTATGTCAGTGAGAAATTTATTTTGATAAATTACTGCTTGTATATGTTGAAATGAATATACATTCAAACAATCCTTAAATATTTGCAATATTGAATTATTAATTTTCAAACATGTTTAGTTTGAAAATTGAATTTTGTACATTATTAATGTAAGAAAAGGTGACCTAGAATTGTTTTTGGATGATTATTATAATAAATTTGTAGAGAATTGATATATTCTTTATCTTGGTTAACAATTTCTTAATGCATGTAGAAGGGTACAAGAATAAATTGTCTGATAAGTTTTTGGTTTTATACATACGTGGTTTGTTCAAAAAATATGTGAACTGACATCATAAAACAAAATGTACTTTATGTAGAAGTTACATGTCTGGGTCCCCTTCAAAGTACTCTCCTTCCCAACGTGTACACTTATCCCACCGGTGTTTCCCCTTGTTGAAACAGTCCTAGTACACTTCTTTTGTAATGTCTTTCAGCGCCTTTGTCTCATTTGCCTTAATCTCGGGAATCGTCTCAAATCTTCTTCCTTTCAAGGGTCTTTTAAGTGTGAACAAGAAAAAGTCACAATGAGAAAGGTGAGGTGATTAGGGGGTGGGTAAGAACAGTGATCGAGTGTTTAGCCAAAAACTCATGAGTTCTGAGGGCTGAATGGGCTGGAGCATTGTCATGATGGAGAAACCAATCACCACTCCTCCACATTTCTGGCCTTTTGTGATGGATGGCGTCCCTCAGACGTTTCAGAACTTCAATGTAGAAAGTCTGGTTCACTGTGGTGCCTTGGGGAGGTACTCGTGGTGAACAACACCCTTAGCATCAAAGAAAACTGTCAGCATCACCTTGACATTGGATCGAACTTGGCAAACTTTTTTGGGTCTGGGGGACGTTTCACCCACCCACTGGTTGAGCATAGCAAATGTTTAAGTTGCAGGTTTTCCAAGCTTAACACAAAATTTCACTGCAAGTTGTTGCTCCATCAGGTCATTCATTCTGAAATCCGACAAATGAAAAAATCACACTTCACTAAAAACCGCATAGCTAATCGACAAATAAAGATATCTGTAATTGGGAAACAGCTTTATCACCAAATGATCTGTACAAACATAGCGACACCAAGCTGATTCCCCTGGAACAAACTGGAGCCGTGCAATTCAAACAGTCCACACATTTTTTGAACAGACCTCATACAACAAATTAAAATATAAATTGTTAGATTAAATATTAGTAAAATTAAAATTATATGAAGTTTTAATAAAATATGTTAATTAGGAATTATTTACTAGGTAAGAATATTTTGATTATTTTTCTACTTTAGTTTCATACAGCAGAAAATGGAATTTTTTTTTGTAATTAAACTTGTAAAATCTGAATAAAAACAAAATGTAGAACTTAGAAGCTCTTTTAAAACTACACAAAAGTACTAGAATTAGTTACATGACTTGTACAACTAGTAATACAAAATTACCTTTATTTACAAAATGTAAAAGGCCACAGAGCAAGAAAAGAAAACACCTTGACCAATGTTTTGATCTTTATCATTTATCAGCTTCCGAGATAGCACTGCAGATTCTAACACAGCTAAAGTCATACAGTATTGTATTGTACAGTACATGTCTGTTGCATAAGAATAAATTAAAGTAAACCAAACTTTGCAGCTTTTATTTTTCTTCTGTATTTGTTATTACTTATCACTAGTATGCTATCTTTATTATAGGTTTATTAAAATTCTGCTGATTCATATAAACTCATTAGGCATGCAGTACTTTAGGACACAAGTGTGTTATGTAATAT